ACCTCAGCTGTGGAGAGCATGTGCTGCAGGGAGGTGGATCCCTTCTGGGCCCTGGTGGAGAACCTCACCCCCCGGACCAGACATAACATGCCTGACCACTGCACCCAGGCTTTGAAGCATGCTGTCTGAATCCCTTGTGCTACAGATAGGCCTACATGAACTTCAGGCAGGAGCATGCCCGCTTCAGGCAGCAGGCATGAGTTATGTTAGATTACAATTAAAAAGTAAATCTATTAAAGATATACAGTTGCTATTGACCCCGAGTGTTTAGCAGTTTCAACCAGAGCCTGTAATGTATTTACTATATACCATTGTTGATGATGTTACAAGGCTATAACCTTACCTGTAGATTATATACTATATAACACTGTTGATGATGTTAACAGGCTATCAACTTTACCTGTAGATATTGTGTCCCTTATCCCAGGCAATAAACCGCCTACAACAGCTTACAGCAGGGTCATCCGCTGGCATATGGGAGTTCTAGGCAGGCACATTAGGAAGCCCTTTACCCTCATGTGTTTGTGTCTGCCATAGAGACAGTTCCCAGAGAAGGAGGAGGAATTTACAAGGTTTGAGTGGCCTCATTTTGATGACATTCAATACAATTAATACAATCATAGTGTGTTCGCACTATGTGTTCGCATACCAGCATTCCAAACATTTTGTCTACCTATGCTTGTAATTGGATTTTTTCATTTACACAAATAAACCATGATGTTGATAGATAGGTCTTTTCATTAATAACCACCAAATACGTTATTTGAACACTCCTCTCGATCGATTTACAAAAAAAAAGAATATATGGCCTGGCCCTAATACACCAACGCATAGTTTTAAAGACTATACATTTTTCAACACAATCATTTAACAAATTACACCTATATCCAATCATTTGACGAGCAGAAATGTATCATTGCAGTTATTGTTTATTGATTTAGGATTACCATGACCTCAACATAATTATGTAGAGGTTACAAGTCCACAGCAAGAACTATTTTATTATGCCATATCATTTCATTTATGGAATATGGAATTATTTATTAAATTATTATCGCATCTCAACAATGAGGATTATACTACTTCTTCTATATATAAGATAGAGAAGGGTCCATTTATAAATGAAGATATAAGTACCAAATATAACAGGCAAGCTTGGGCCTGTCCCACATATTCCTATTGAACAGAGAAAGAAAATATTGTTAATGTTTTGTGACTGAGATGATAATTTATTGCTCTTGCTCACATCAAATATAATTCCTTGCTTGACCAGGGTTTGGTTTTTTATTTCTAAACAAATTAGAAACTAGAATGCAATTTTAGAAGTAAATCTTTTAACCCAGAAATAACTTGTGAACCAATTCAGAATCTGGCTGGTTTCTACACCTAATATTACCTGTGTTAAACCGGAATCGCCGTGCCAGATAGAGAACACAACTGCCTCACTCCTTTGGCAATCTCCAGCAGGAAGTGGAAAGGGGCAGGGCAGGGGCAAGGGGCAGGACAAGACTGCACTGCTCTTCGTTAGGAGTTCTGGTGGATCCTGGATTAGCCCTCTCAGAGGACTTCGCATTCAGGGCGCAGCGTATGCGAAGAGTAAGGAGACAGAGTGATCACATTCACGTGATTATCTATAATGGCATCCACACAAAAATAATATTTAGGGACATGTAAACAGCTAAACGTTAGGATGGCTTCTCCTTGATAGGGCGAATACCCAGCCACCTTGCAGAACCTTGGTAGGACAACTGCTATATATGCTTATTCCTCTTATCTCAGTAAGTCTGTTGTTTTTTGTATGGCAATCCCTCTTTCTGTGTTTTTTCTTTATTATGGTTAAAGTCAGGGGCCGCGCGAGAGGTATGGGGTGGTGAGGAAGATGATAGGAGGGTAGTGCGGAGGCACCTAATTTTTTTTTGTTTTTTTTTTTGGTTTACATGATGTGTTAAGGTAAGACTGGTTAACTTGATAGCATAATGTTCGGTTTAAACTTTCTTTTTATGTTTCTTTGTAACGGTTAAATGGTAATATTTTATCTTATTCCCTAGTGTGAAGCCGTAACAACAGTTTCTTTCAAGCAGTCACATTTGCCAGTTATTTTTTTACCT